ACGTTGTTTATGTAAATTACAAACAAAATAGGACGAATAAGATGCTTCCCTGAAATAACAGTGCCTGGGAGAATTATCAGATTTGATCTGCTCATTGTTAAAGTAGGTTGTGCCTTTTTTCGTGAGACGCTATCATTGATTGTCTTGAATTTCTTGCCGATTTATGTGATGTAGTCCACATCTCCTGTGGACCTATTGTTGGTGTCTCCGTCCCCCTAGTTGCTAGGAGGTTGTTTTTTTCATTACCTTTCATCCGCTACGTCCTTGTATCCATGTGAGTGTTGCCCAATTGGCCTCTTGGCAGTGATTGAATGTGGTTTAAGGCTAACTTTCCAGCGTCGATACTATGGAGCTAGTCTAAGCGTGAAAACTGTCAGTCAGCACTATATTTTAATATGAAACACATTATAACATGGCGCAGTAGGATAGGAACCTACGGTCCCGCAAACGATTATCGAGTCAAATTTTGATAACTTAACTCGCAGGAAGTTGGGATAAAGTGTTAGTAAAAACTACCAAGGAAAAAACTTTGCAAAAAGGAATGGTTATTGATAAAGCTTGCTTCTGAACCAAGATATTCAAATTCAGATTACCTATAAATTTATTTGTCAGCCTGAATTGTATCCCAAACTCTCGATATAGCGAACAAATTAATGCAAAGTATATGGAATATTTCTAAATTTCACTAGGAAACTGGAATTATTAAACCATATTTAATAGCAATGGAAAAAACATTATACATACTAATAAAAGTGTAGTTTATTCTTTATTTTTATCGAAAAATGAGTTATATTTTTTTTGTGTTTTTTGCCTCATAAACCTTTTTTGGGTCACTTTGTTAAGTTTTGTAAAACGTGGAAGACTGGAGTGTTCCACTTCCAGTTGTGACAAGTTCTCTTATTATTTTAACTTTTTTCTGTCGTTGATCTTGACCATTTTCATCACAGGTCTTCACATAATAGTATTTTAGTCGTTTATATCACTGGTGTTAATGTTAACTTCGGGATAATGAGAGCTTCCGAGCTCTTATTTGCTTACGGGGGATCCTATGAAACTCAACTCTGTTAATATAATGATAAACTCTGCTAAGTTGATAGTAACAACAATAAAAATCAAATAGTGCTTCAGCAAGAAAAACTCGAAATGAGAAAGTTCCTGAAATTACCTGCACCCACTCATATGTCTTGAAAGCCTAAAAAAATAAATGTGTGCGGCAGACATGACAATAAGGGATTAAGTACGTGATTTGAAGAGACAAGGTCGACATAACATTCTGTATGATATATTTTGGATTAAAATTAAAAAATTCTTAATTGTTATTGAGCCTATCAAGAATTGGATAGTTAAACTACAGCCCCATGATGCTCCAATAAGTATCGTAATCGAATCATTCAAAGAAATAAAAGACTGTTTCGAAAACTAACTACTAAATTCACCTTTTCTGGTGAATGGAGAAAAAAAAATCGATGGATATCCCGGACCAGAGGAGATGAAGCCCATTCATTTTGCAGCAAGATTTAAATGAAAAACCCTAAACTAGCTCCAACAAAATTTTGGAAATTAGTTAAATTAGGTATCTATTAGAAAATGTTTTCAATCTGGTTTACTCATTTTTTATTTCAGAAATGCTTGTATGTTTTTTTTAACTGAAAGTTTAAGTTTCTTATGTTTCTGTTCCTGCTAGTTATGAGATAAGAGTTTGTTGTGCTACATTATTTTATTTATATTTTTTATCATAAAAGATGCGTAAATACATTTCTAAATAAGTGTTATAAATAAAAAATGATTTATAACCCATATAAATGCCTAGTAAATGAGATGGTTCTGGTTTAATGTTTTATTTCAGTACAGTGACCGCTCTATATAAGCAACCTTCATACAATAACTTTTTTTAGTGCAGCTGTCCTGTATAATCAACTTATCTTTTTAAAACTAAATATTTGAGTTAAGTTAAAGTAGCAAATACTGAAATTATGGAGCGGGAAAGTGGAACAAGGGCCGCAAGTCATCCATTTAACCTTGAAGAAAATCTTGAAGTAGAAAGTGAAGAAAATGAAAAAACGTCGGATGACTGCAATAAAAACATCAATGGTGTTATAAATTCTTTTAATTTGGTGATAGAATGGGCAAAAGAAAATGATTTACAAAGAATAAGAGAAAAAGGCATATGTAATTTTTTTTGTTTGTTTTGGAAATTAGTTCTGCTAGCTCAGGGTTGTTCGAACATGAGACCCTTAATTCGTGAGATTCAATACCTTCAACCAAGTCGATAATAAAAACACTCTAGAAGTCAGTCTCGACTAGATGGTATTATTTATTATTGTAATTATCCCAGATACTTAAGATACATCTGATATGGTCTGTTCATAGATATAAGAAAGTGACCAATTGCTTTTAAATGGGATTATCTAAGGGTGGTCATAACATACAATGCAACAAGAATATTACCAATAGTTTCGTAATTTAAATTCAGGTAAAATTGTGGTCCGTAATAGAAAATAATTTTATACCTACCTGTGTTTAATATTCTTTAGTTTGGTATACTATTTAGTTTACGTTTATTAGTAACTATTCTTATTTCGTGTGTTATACAGCATGTGTTGAATCGTGTGCGAATTATGCAACATAAATACGAGTCTAATGTATCTCAGGAGATACTCCCGCCCAAATGTAGAAAACACTATTCTATTGAGACTAAGGTAGTTATAAACAATGTTTATTTGACTCTCATTGAACGTGGTACCATCAAGCACACTCCTAATTAAATTATTATATTTAGCTTCTCGAAACGACCACCCATAATTATCGAAAAAAATAGCCGCTACAACTATAAACATCCAATTCTGACAAGTGGTTAGCGACGGAGAAGCCGCGATAGTAGCGCCCACCGTGTAGCTAGTCGAAACCATAAATTTCGGGAGATCAAAGATAAAAATTCTGAGGCCAAAATTGAGCAAAGATTTTAAAATAGATGATATTGTGTAGTGGGAATTTTTGGCCCTTACAAATTGCTGTTATTAAATTGTTGCATTACTTTTTTCTTGACGACTCATTCACTCAGTGTTAAACTACGCACGATCGAATCCTAGTTCGTTTTGGTATACTTTATTATTATTTGAATACTTTCCAATATAGCTGAATTAACGAATTAATATTCTTTAGAAATAGAGTGATAGCGTTCAACTAATAAGATGATTATTCACCAGATTGTGGAGGTGTTATAGTTGCGTCTAACCATTCTAGTACTTCAAGCTGGCCACTTTTGAAAGAAAACTCCCCATGCCAAACAAGAAAGACTAAAACAATTTTTAAGTATCTGGAACTCAATTTCCATAGTGATAAAAATCACTGATTCCATTCGAGAGTTATAGGGTGTGTTTGGAAAATGTGTATTTTTAAAAAACTGGCGTAACTTTTTTGTTATGTAAAATTTTGTGGGTCTATGAAAACATTTTCAAAGCATTTTTGAACAGAATTTAATGGCTTATTTAATTAATTATAATATATAATTAATTTAACTCAATGGCAGAATTTAATTAAAACAGTAAGTTGGACAGTGCCAAAATAATAGAGAAGAAAACTGCCTGGTCCAATTCTTATTTTGGTTGTAAGCATGCTAGGTTTTAGTTTAACCTTAACCTTAAAATTGCAACATCAACTGTATGGAAAATTGGAAAATTTCAACGAGGAAAAAAAGAAGCGATGCTGACATTTTCTCGAGTGTAGATGAAAGTGATCAAGATATAATACGTCGTAAAATTTACCAGTTATAAGAGGAACAAAGCGTGCCTACATTAGATATCTTAATTAGGAGGCTTGAAAAAGATGAAACCGGTCTTAAATGTGGCAGAACTACCTTATGGAAGTGTATTCAACACATGGGTTTTAGATTTTAAAAGATTGACAAAAGGCAAGTTTTAATGGAATCTTTTGGGATTCGGAAATGGCGACTGGAATATCTAGAAAAAAATAGGATTTATAGAGAACAGCAAACACCAATTATTTACTTGGATGAAACCCGGTTCGACACTTATGATACCCCGGAAAAGGGTTGGGTTGAGTCAACGTAAAAGAATAACTATTTTGCATGCTGGCTCTAAAGATGGTTGGATTCCAAATGGACTTTCTCTGTCTGCGAAAAATATTAAAGATTCTTCTCTGGATTACCATGAAGACACCACCGCTGATTTATTTGAAAGTTGGTTTAAAAACAAACTAGCAAAGTACCTAGACAAAGAAGTTAGGCTGGCTATATTTCATTCTTACAGCTTGCCCGGGTCTTTCCTTAATTCGTATCAGTTAGTCACTTTCTTATATCTATGAACAGACTTTACTTCCTTTTTCAAGTAATTCAAAATATGTATCGATTCCAACTTACAAGTTGTCTTACAGGGGTTTTAATAAACCAATAGTACCAATTTGATAATTTAGTCAAATCGGGAGATCACAAAAGAAAATTTCACTATCTCACTCTTTGGTCCAAACTCCCAGGTAATGAACCCTTGTCCCCGCTAAAAAAAAACTTGGAAATGAAGGCCAACAGCAACTACAACGTGTAGTTGACAACCAGGTATCGAAATCGTGAAAAATAAGCAAATAGATTTTTAAACGTGAAATGCAACCGTAACAGATTTATTAAAATTGTTTTTTTTTTTAATGTAATTAATAACTACGCTTATATGATAATAATAATAAAATGTTTTCTTTTGCAAAATAAAACTAAATTTATTTATTCTACAAAGTTTAGTTAGTAAAAGAAATAAGTAAAAATATTTTCCCAACGGTAAGTATTTTTATATTCCCTTTTTCCGGATAAGCAACTTTTCCCAATAAGAAACGTTTTTATTGATATTGGTTCAAATGAGTTGCTTATATATATTATTGTTTACCATATCTCTTTTGTCTGCCGCCTAGTGACTTCGCCCTTCCTCACACTCCGTCAATTTTTTCCTCGGCTTTTTTTTGTCTCGCGCCTGAGCTTCGGTTTTCTTTCCGTCCAGGAGGTAATAATGAACGGCTTCGACGCCGCGCAAACGGCACCGCCGTCTTCGCCCGAACGCAACGCCGCGACGCCCGTCGTCTCGCTGCTTAGCATCGACAAGCACCAGGAGAAGGACTACGCCGCCATGCAGGGCGGGCGCCGGCCCTCGCCTCGCAAACCGCCCCAACCCAACGGCTACCACCATCACCATCATCACCAACACCTCCAGCAGCAGCAGCAGCAGCCTCAAAGCTTTCTCGTCTACAACGGCGGCGGGCGGCCGCAAAATGGCACCGTCTCGAGGGGAGGCGGCGCGCCGCCCACCAGCAGCCGGCGCAGACCCCTCGTCACCTCGGTCGAGCGTTCCGCATCGAACAATTCGCCCAGTTCCCCGGACGAGCAACACCATCACCAGCGGAAGGGAACGCCGCCTCCGCCGAGGCCGCCCGCCCCCTACAGCCCGTCGGGACGGCGCGGCAGCAGCGCCCGCCCCTCCTACACCTATCACAATCATTCATCGCAGATGGTGCCGCCCCCGCAGCCGCCGTCGAGCGTCTCGTTCAATCCGGCGCGACGCCCCCAGAGGAAAACGACGTCGCGACGCTGTCCCGCTGCCGCCGCGCAGTATTCGGAGATCGGTGCAGGCGACGCGCCACTGCCCCCGCCAGTGTCGTGTGACGACGTCGTCGCCCAAGTGGACGCCCTTAAAATTTGACGGGACGGTGAGGTCGCCCATACGCGACGCCATATTTATATTTACACATATATGAAAATGTTTTTTTTTTTTAAATATACTTAAGAACGCCGCCGCCCCATTTGTGTTTGGTCCGTCTCGGGGGACTGTTTCTCCGCCTCTCTCGCGCGGTAGTAGTTGAAATGTATCGTACGGGAGCACCCCCTATTTCTCTCCTTTTCTGATACTACGCTGTCCCGGGGACACATTAACAAACAAAAAAACGAGTAATAATAACAAAAGTGAGATAATCGTCGAGGCAAATCGGGCTAAGTCACGAGTGTTCCCTCTCTTAGGTTTAGGTTTTTTTTGTAGATATACTTACAACCGCCCTCGTATATTTTATACGTGTACGAGGCGAACGACACACACATATACATATAGATAGTAGGTTTAACGGATTAAGAACAAAAATTATATATACAGTATATATATATACATTTAATGATATATATTTAGGCTTTAGGTACTTGTTATTTAATGTATAAGGTTCAGGAGTGCGACGACCGTCGCGACGGTTCCGCCGCCGCCGCCGCCGCCACCCTTCCCCTCTCGGAACCAACGTTCGGTCGCCATTCAACCCTCTGACTTTCCTCGTAGCTCTTTTCTATCAGCAAAATACGTTTGTTTTAACTTTATTTCTCGAAAAATTTAAGTAAATGAAATTTAGACCGCAAAACGTTTGATTGGGGCTTGAAATTTGCCGCTTACAAAATTGCCCTCAAACAAAAATAATATTTCGTAAAATTAATAAATTATTTTAAAGATTTTCATATGTGAGAACGAACCACCTCAGGGATTAGTGTGTGAGGAATATTTAAACTTTTTGAATGAAAGGTTTAGGTAAAAAAAAACGATTTTTTATGGCCTCCTTTTCACTTGGGATGGAAGAGCATCTTTGCATACAAGTTCATTAACCAAACTAACGTTAGCGGAGTATTTAAAAAAAAAAATCTCGTATAATAAAGAATTGCATAAACATTGGTTAGTGTGGGTTACACAATTCGTGAAAGTTATCTTACAAAATGATTACGGGAGTAAGTTTTGTTTTAAGGTTAACCTTAACCTTATTAAATCGAGCGGCGTTAAAAATGTGAATAAATTTGCTAAAATGTATAAACGACTGGAAAATGTGTCATTGGAAGCCTAACCGTAATAGGAAAAATAAAATAAAATTCGAAAAAATAGGAATGAGAAAATCAACCCCAAAATTAAAACAATATAATCTAATAATTCCTTTTTGAGTTCCTTTAACGATCTATACACTAAAATTTGTTAAAACTTAGCATTATGTGGCGTTAAAGATCTTAAAACTGAACAGTTATAACTACCATGAAATACAGCATTCTCCAATTTGTCTAATAAGAACAAATTATAGATAACTAGATCAATGGCAAGAGAAAAACAATAAGTCTTGAGTCAAAAAGAAAATCATCCATGTTATATATATTGTAATTTGTAGCACGATACTTTAACGTCATCAAATTAAGTTACTTAAATTTTTTATAACGGCTGTGAAAGATAGCACTCAATTTGTCGTGTCGAATAAGAAAAGAATTTGGGATGAGAAAATCAAACCCAGGAGTGAAACAATGAGCTAAAGTCATTAATAAAATCAATCATGTAATTTTTTTTGAGGTTTGGCCGCATACTTTAAAGTTATCAAATACTTAAAATCTTGACATTAATAACAACCAACAATTTTTTCTGGTAAAAGCAAATTAGAGAGGAGAAAATCAAACCCAACAGTAAAACAATGAGTCCAAGTCAAAAGAAAACCATCCCATAATCGTTGTTTTTAAGTATGTCCCCATTCTTTAACTTTACCAAATTGAGTTATTGAAATTTGTTAAAACGACGTAGATTCCATGAAAAATTGTGATAAGAAAATCAAACGCAGGAAAGAAACAATAAGTCCAAGTCAAAAAGGAAACCATCTATGTAATAATTTTTGATCCTATACTCTTTAACGTCATCAAATTGAGTTACCAAAATTTGTAAGGACGTAAATTTTTAAAAATTTGACTTTAAAAACGAAAATGAAACAGCACTCTCCAATTGTCTAGAGAAAAGTCCACGTTTGCAGTCTCACAATGATCTACTCGGTATTTGAATATCTTCTCTCCAGTAGGGGAGGGTAATAATTTAATATTTTTACCTCTTACTCGCGCCTAGCAGAGTCGACGCAGGTTCCGAGAGACGGGCATCGTTCGCGACCTTGAAATGACCTCTACGTATCGCCCGGATCTTCCAGTCATCGCGCGTGACCTCGACGTGACCTCTATTTACGAACGGTCGTTTCGGGGTCGCAACAAGGGGAGGCACGAGAAAACATAATTTTTAGTGAGATTTTCTTTGCTCAAAGCGTTTTGCCATCGTCATCACCACTATCGGACATTTTCTTTCCTTTCCTCTCCCCCCCACGCCCCTACAAACGGATTTATTTGTTTGGATTTTAGGCTGTGACATTAAATAACGGTTAATTGATGTTGTTGAATTTTTGTAGATTTTTTATATATGTGTGCGTGTACGGCGAGTCCCGGGCTGGGGCCGCCCCCGCCGCAGAGCGGCGCGGCGGGGGGCGGAAACCCCCTTCCACCCAAATCAAAACAAAAAAATCGTTTAACCAATTTATGAAGAAGCGCGTTTCGGAAGAGCCTAAAATGTTTTTCGTTTCCAAAGATTTACCGTAGAGTTAGGTTAGGTTTACGATGATGATACGTGTAGGTTAGGTCCGTAGGATATTTAATAATTTATTGTACACGGTAGACGAGATGGTAGAGAGGATGCAAACGGTCGGCAACGGAGCGCGCGATAGGTGGTAGTTTTTTTTTCGCGAAAAAGAGAATATACGCGTTGTTGCCAGATCTTCGTTGACTTTTTTTTTCGTTGTTGTATTTCGAGTGTTTTCGCGCGTCGACCCCTTAGCGTCACATCCCCGTTTTCGAAGCAACGGATCACAGTCTGTACCTGTTTGAATTTATATATATACGAGATGGAGGCGAAAACACGAAACTGTGTATATAGTTTGTTACGAAACGTTGTTAAGCCGATCAAAAGATTTATTGGAGGCTATGAGAGCGTTATATTATATAATATGTATACATGCGTTTACGTTTGTTCCGTTGCGGCGACAGTGCCGGCGCGCGTAGGTGTGGGAGAAGGGTTTTCGTTCGGCGTGGCGGCGTTGCCGAATTTTGGCGAGAAATTTGAAGGGATTATATCGGACATGTTTATTGTCCTATTCAAGTGAGTGATATTGTAAAAAATTGTCGATGCAAACTACTGACATTTTAACGATCATTTTTGCGTCAAGTGTACAGGGTGATCTGTAAATATCAAGTTGGTTGATTTTTTCTAATACTTTTAAATTGTATTGGTATCTATACAGGGTGTTGGTATTATCGTGGACAAGCAAAAACTTATTTTAATAGAACACTCCATATATTAAGGCATTTTTGAATTCCTCGGAACTCTAAACATATTTGTTATATATTTAATAAATAAATACATGGTGATTAATAATCAACATTGAAAATTAAAGTGAAAAAAAACTGTCGGATGTGATATACGAAGTTTGTCGAAAAATATGGATGTATCTTCATTTTTTTGTAAATGTGGAAAAAGTTGTTCTCGGGATAAATCAATTTCGCGAACTTTGGCAAATTAAATTTATTTTTTAAATGGAAAGATGCAGAAATGAATTGGTAAAAGTACACGTTAAAATTTATATTTTTGTGACTTCATATACTGTCCCATCCATTTCGTATTCGACGGTAGTTTTTTTTCCCCAAAAAATAAGAATGAAAGTTAGTTCCATTTAATTGCATTTACCGCAGATGTACCTGCCATAATCACCTCTGCTGTTACATGAAATGTACAGGATGACCCGTACCTTATCTCAGAACCTGTAGAAAATAAAATAAATGCAAAGTCAAAAATTGTTTGCATCTTAAACATGTCATATTGTGAATTTACCGTCATAAGCGGCTTGATGAAAAAAGGTTATTTTTTTAATAAAATATTTGCAACGTTTTTCCATTGTAAAAGTGTTACGAGGGCTAAACATTTTGAAAAAAGAACAATCGAACACTGCAGTTTGGAAATTTTTTATTATGGTTTTATTATGGTTACTTTAGTACCAAAAAATGAAAATACCTTATATTAGTTTGTGATTACCCTGTATTTATTTATTTTTAAAATATCGGCACAAACATCACTAAACCATACAACGCAAACTATCTCTGTCGAGGAAATTGATACATATATTTGGAAGTGCAGACGTCAGTTTAGACATAAAATTCAAAAATAGGAAGTAAGAAATTACAAATTTTTTGGGAAGAAAAGTTTATTACCGAATCGTCCATCTAGTAGGTGACCTACTCTATTTGGTTAACTGAATTTAACATTTAATCGTAAAATCTTACATTGGTTTTCATGATTTTGTCGGAGACCGTTAAGTATCTATTATAAACAAAGGCCAATTAATTTCTAACTAAAGAAATGAGTAACAATATTGATAAAAACTGAAAATTAATAGCGTTAATGTTTGCGTTTATGACTGCTTCTAATCTACGAGGCATGTCTTGAATCAAATTCAAATTCTTGGAGCACAGATATTCATTGGGATTCATGTCTGGACTGATTGCTGGTTAATCAAACCACCATCATGTGGAAGTCTTTCATCAATATAACCTGAGGTATACCTTTTTCCGGGTGTCCCCCATACTTTCCGACGCCAATCTGACCCACTGAGGCAAAACGGGATTCATCGAAAAACAACCTTGCTCCGTTCATAATCATTCCAGTGACCATTACCAATTTTAACTTCTTGAAGTTGATTTCGAACCATTAATGCTACAATTCTAGTCACAACGATAGGATCTAAAAGCATTATGACCAGTTAAATATACCAGCCAATAATTCAAAATTATTTGAAATTTCTCGAGTGACCTAAATTTTTTGTATACGGATGAATATTTGTAAGGATTTATAAATTGTCTTAATATACGGGGTGTTCTATTTAAACTGACAAATTTTATACTTATCCGCGATAATGCAAAAAAAAATATTTTAAAATTATAAGCGACTCCAAACCAGTCTCTAACTGTTTTTGATATCGTTTACCGGTTGTGTGGTAAACGGGCCACCCTTTCCAGTATGCACGACATTGCCGCGTAGCCACGTCGACCGTAACCCCCCCACCTCCACCCTCCCGCGCGTAACAACATGAAACAGAGCAATACGATTTGTCAATCTAGACACACGTCAATTTCATTTGTTTTTTTCTATCGCGTTGTAAATAGACGTATAGGTGGCGAAAAATGTCGCGCACATATACAACATAAGAATAAAACAAAAGAGATGCTCTACAAAGGTTGTGCATAAAAATATGTTATATATATATATATATATAAATAAATATATGTAAGAACTCTACTAGGTTGTACAAAAGAAGTTATTTATAAATAATCGCGTAAGATGTTTGTAGAGGTCCGGCGTTAAAAAAATGGCGGACGCGGGGCGAGTTAACCCGCCAACGAACACAGCTGTCCAAGGCACATGCAAAATTCATTTTTTTTTGTCGGTTTAAATGTTTAGCGTGCACGCGTCCATATGGCACTTTGAGCATTTTGTAGTGGTCCGGAGCTGCTCGCTGTGTTGTGTGTTGGTATATTGGCTGTCAAAATTCGGAAAAATGCGATAGAGAAAAAAAAATTGCTGATTAAGCTTTGCATTGGAAGAATAAAGTCCATTCCAAATTTTGTAGGTAGAATGTGTTCGTTTCTATTCTTTAAGGAGCAAATTTTTAAAGTTCTGAATCTTTCTGTCATCTCTAAAACACTTTTCTTTGTTTTTTTTTTTATAAAAGTGGACAAGATCTAGTTATTGTTAAAAAAATATATTACCTTAACGCTCTAACGTTAACGGTCGCCAATAATTTTATTTAAACCACAAAAAAAATAAACAAAAAAATGGTTTGGTTTTCTCAAAAACAAACCAAGTTAAGCCTTATAATACTAAAATTCGGATTATTTTCTATGCCCGTATAGACGACAATAATAAAATTATTGTCGCACATATCAAAAGGTGGTTTATTCTAACTGTGACGATTATTTTCTATTATAATATTTTTATGAATATCTGATAAAACGGACAGTTTTCGACATCCATTATTTATTTAAACATGATTTAAAATGCGGACATAACAAATTATTAAAGCTTATGCCAGTAGAACATACGTTTGACATTGGGAGTAATTTTATATATTTTATTTTATGACTTAACTTAAAAAATCTTTTTTTAATGCAAGTAATAAATATAAAATTATAGAGAAAATTAAAATTAGAAAGTAGAAACGAAAAATTTTTACATTTTTGACCTCTCTTCGTATGCAAAATGAAACAATGAAACGCTCTCGCCGGGAACGGTAAGCAACTTCATATTTACTGTACTTCATGTTGTTTTGCGCAATAAGATTTTTTTTTTAAATGACAGCCAATCCCTCAGAAATTAGTCATCGAAAAGTAACTAGCACTATAATGAAATATGATGAGGGTTATAAAAAAGTTTGAATGCAAAGGTTGTTTCCGGTAAAATGATCTTTATTTTTTTTTGTATTATTTCAATTACATGCCGGGTAGTCAAATAAAGTTACTTTTTTTTTAATTGAACGCGCTATATTTTTTAAATACTCCTTTAAAAGACGAATATAATGATGTATATAAATATCTATATGTCGGCCTCTAATGTACTGTTATTAGCGAATATCTTCGGGATTGAGGTTATGTTGGAGAGGTTTTTATTAGGTTGCACATTAACTTTTAAAACGTTTTTCGGCGTAACATATTTTAGAAAACAATATTTTTTCCAGGCGATATACAAATTGGAAATATTTTTTATCAAATTCGCTGTGATGCGATGTTTCACAAAATATTATTTCTCCCTTTTTTTAAGCAAACACCCTGTATATTTTTTGCATTTTCGGATAGCCCTTTAAAAGACGAATTCAAGGATATATACTTGATTGTCGTTGGATTCGTCTTTTAAATGGCTATTCGAAAATGCAAACATATACGGGGTATTTGATTTAAAGAAATTGAGAAAAGTAATATTTTGCGAAACATTGCATCACCGCGTATTTGGTAAAAATATTATTTTTCAAAATATGTTAAGCAGAAAAATGTTCGAATATAACCTTAATCCCGATGATATTCGCTAATAACGGAGCATTAGAGACTTTTATATAGCACGATTAAATTTGGCATAAATGTCTAATTTTTGACAAAAACAATATCTCAAAAAGTCAAAATGGCAGCAGGGCGGATTTTTCACTTTCACTTTCTAACATTATGCAAAGTTTCTGGGGGAATTACACTGCATACATTTCGAACTCTCGTTCAGATTGTCAACCGAATTTGGTTTCGTAACATAAATTTGACTTTTTAGATATCCCCAAAGAAAAGGCTCCAGGGGTGTTAGGTCTGGAAACCAAGCTGACCATATAATGGGGCCTCGTTTTCCAATCTATCAGTGAGAAAAAGTAGCATTTAACCATTATCTAACTCGACTTGAATAATGCGGTGGCGCACAGTCCTGCTATTAAACTACGTCTCTTGAAATTCATTTCGATTGTTTGCTACATTTCGTAACGTTCACCAATAAGATTATAATTAATAAACATTGGACCAAACAAATAGTTTTAAAATTGGTATGCGAATACATGAAAAGAAGACCTTTAAAAAGAGGTATCACACGACGCCTCTTATTAAAAAAAACTTAAAACGGCGCCCTGCTGCAGTCGTGACATTTTGAAATATTTTTTTATGTCAAAAATTAGGCATTTTAATTATATACAAGGGTACAAAAAGTAAAAAAGGAGTCCCATAATTTTACTGCACACAACTTTTGTGTGCAAAGTTTTTCTCATAGATTTCGAGATAAGGTATCCCTGTTGAATCGACCACCCTATACTAAAATTTTAATGAATTCGTCCCGTGTATTTCGGAAAAAAGATATGGGGTAATGCAGATTCCTTGTTTACATTAAACAAGTTGGGCGGGGAATACAAATAATAAATATTTTGTTTCCGACATCATGTTTAGATATGTTTTTAGAAGTAGTACAGCCCCGCCAGAATTCTTGATAACTTTGAAGGCGCGAGGGATGGGGTAAGTGCATTGGACGAAATAAAACTTAGAAATACGGTTGGCAATGTCATTAAGTTTCTTTATCAATAGGGTGGTACCGAGCTCATTCCAGATGTAGCCAGCTCCGGGACTAAATCTAAATTAAAAACGATGACGCGTGCGTAGAGGCCAAATTGTTTGTGATAAGGCCCGTTTAGCGGGTTTTCCGATCGGATCATTTATACTAAACGTGTTCAAAAAACAAAAAAGGTGCAAAATTATACAACGTCGACGTTTGGATTTTTTTGTCGGTGAGAATGCACGACGGTCGATATTCCTGCCAGCGGCAAATTCGAAACGAACATAAAAATACAACACAAGAGGAAAATAATAATTAAAGAAGAAGAAAAAAAACATTACAATAAAGCTAGTTTGTAAGGAGATATATATATATAATACTGTAAACGGTAAAAAACGCAATACTTTTAGCAAAACTAGTTGTCTAAGCTACCGAGCCGGAAGGACGGGTGGGGGAAACCGCAACCGTCGCCCGTTTTCCTCTCTCTATGTATATATCTCTCTCTCTATCTTCGACATACGGCCGCGCGGACGACGCTCGGTGATCTCAGTGCGTATGACGTTGCGTGGATTTCCCCGACCGGTTCTGTATCCGGAAAAAGTGAGAAATATTTATTAGACACGTAATATTAATTACCTAGCGATTAAGGCTCTATATGTACAAATTAATAAAATAATAAAAACAAGGGAACAGGTGGTTTTTGTTTCAGCGCGGTACCCGCGATCCGGCTCGAACGACCAGAATATGTGCTTCAACTTCAACTGATAAAAATAATTCGAGTTATGGAGTTGGATTTTATGTAAAAAAACATATTTTTTATTATTAGGAATATCAAGCCAATATTTTGGATATACCCGTTTTAGAATGAAATAATTGGATTAACGTTTAAATATGTTGTTATTATTATTATTATTCTAACTAGATTTTTTAAAATTTCTTTAAGGTTTTAACAGTTTTAATTTTCTTTATCCAATCCTGGGGGTTGTTAAATACTTTTATGCGCTGGTAATAACGACCATTTTCAGTCCGTGTCACTCGATAGTGAGGAAAACTAAAATTCCGCGTGCGTGTTGCATAAGCAGTTTGTGATTCATTGAGAGTAAAAAAGGATCTATTTTTTTTTAAGTGGATGACCCACTCCCATATCAACACTGCTGTTACTGTTTAAACCTTCCCGTGCAAGAATCTACTTTTTAAACCTAAAAGTGTTTTGATTTCACGCTTTTGTACTATAAATATTCTTTCAATGTCTCTGCAATTCCCATACAGCAGTATTCCATGTCTGATGTGACTTTCAACATTTGCATGATATAACATCTTTGTAGTTTTTATACCTACATAGTTTCGTAGAACCCGAATAGTGTAACATACCTTGGTCAATTTACCCACAACATAACTAAGGTGGAATTCCCAAGTTAACATATTTTCGAAGAACATCCCCTTAGGTCTATTTCACAGCCATTGATGTTAATTTCAACTCTCTCTCTTTAATCCATTTCACTAAGAAGGGATTAGTGACTATGATGCTCTTGAAGCAGTGCTTATGGTATCGGGCCATTCCGTTCTATTCTGAGCCATGATTACGGTTTCATGAAGGTTTGATCTATCCATCTTTTGGGTGACCTTCCACGCGGCCGTCTTCTTTCTACCGTTCCTTCGACTATTAGTTGCAGCGAGTCCGTTCTTCTTGCAATATGGCCAATAAATGTTAGAAAGCTTCGATTTATCGATTTTCACAGATTTAGTTCTTGAAGTTCTTCATTTGTACGGTGGGCCGTCTAGGGTATCCGTAACAGCCGTCTGTACGCCCATATTTCAAAGGCCTTGCATCGCTGTTCTTGATCGTTCAGGTTTCAGCTCCATAAATGTGGCAATCGGGAACAAAAGTGAATTCAACAATCTTAGTTTAGTGTTTTTAGTGATGGCTGTATCTCTCCAGATCTTACTTAACTTAGTTATGGCTGTTCGAACTAGTGCAATTCTTCGCTTTATTTCACCTTCACATGCACCGCTATTGTCAATTAAGGATCCCAAGTACTACTTTCACTACTTTTATCTTTTTCGACGTGAATAGTACTGAAACTACATTTGTCTTGGTATTATTAGCAACTGATTTATTGTTAATAAGGCAATATTCAACTGTTGTCTAGCATATTTATATTTACTGAACAATATCCGGTTTGGATTTCCATAGTAGATTTTGTGTTCTGTGGTTTTACCCCTTGTGCTATCATTAATTAATAAATCAATGTAATTGACTATTTAAAATTACGTAAACAAGGGGTTAATATTATGCTAAAGGGTCTAAATGATTTAAAAAAGAAATATGTATTAACTTAAAGGATTAACATAATAGCTAAATTAATTAATCCTTTCATTCGAGTAAAATATTTCTTCAAAGTTTCAAAGAACTTATTGGTAGAATCAGGATAAATAGGAAAAAATGTGCAAAATAATTTATTTGCCAGTATTAACAAATACACTATACGAACTGAAAACAGAAATCTGTAAGAATACTATAAAAAATTGAAACAAATATTTAATACGCTATATACTATGCACTTAATAGTATCTTATGAAACAAGTGCGGCAAGCGGCATTTAAGTAACGAGTTTATTAGGCACGAGCGGAGCGTAGTGGAGCGGGTATTTAATAACGATTGACTTAAAAAATTTACCAAACGTGTTGCATATTATACTTTTTCTATGACCGTTAGTTTTTGGGTCCATTTTTGCAAAACAACACAAATACGTTCCCTGGCATGACCGTCAGAATTGACAAAATTTAAACCGTGCCGTAATTTCTCCGAAAACATCCGATTGCTGCCAAACCCGTGCAGTAATATCCCGGAAATGCCCGAAGTGTCTTCGATCCGTGGTGAAGCGTAACTTCACCACGGATAGATCAGTGTATAATATTGTACAGAAGGCAGTAGGAAAACAGTTTACCATACGTGTTGCTTACTATACTATTTGTATGAACGTTAGTTTTTGGGTTCATTCTCTGACATTACCGTCAGAATTGACAAACGTCAAAATTCAAGACGTAGGAAATATCTCCGAAAACATCCGATTGCGCCCGAACCCGTGCGGTAATATCTCGGAAATGTCCGAAGTGGCTAACGTGATAAAATGATACTTTCCGCACAGTAAATCGGTGTATAATTAAGCATTTTGCAGAAGGGGGTAGAAAAAGTAAATGTTTGCAACATACAGAGTTTCGAATTAAAAAAAAAAGCTTTTTAATAAATATTTTAAACGTTCTTTGGCTGATTTCGTTAAAATTTAATAGCGTTGTTTGTTGTGACACGAGGCTCATTTAGGATTAAGTTAATTAAAATTATAAAGTGCAGTGGCGCCACAAACTTTTTTTTACAAAATTCCATTTTTTTTCAAATCAAGCAACTAATGCCTTTGTGTCTCTTGATTTTTTTCAATCTTGCTTCGTTTTCGAGAAAAAAAAAAATATTGGCAACAAATTCTAATTCGTTTTTTATTAATATCCAGGCACTCTGTACAGAGTAAGGAACGTTCTATTCAAAGAGACGTCGCTCTCCTGATTTGGAAAACTCAATTCGGAGGTATTATAACATTTAAATAAAAACTGATCCAACATTCCTCCGTCAGCAGAAACTTCCATAGGCTACTGCAATACTATTTACAAAACTTCTGGATTCCTCCTGCGTCGCTTGTTGATAAATCGAAATTACTGTTGGCTACTGTGTCCCTGCTTATATATTGTTTGAGGGCGGAGGAGCTAAAAGAGGAACACGAAAGACCTGAGTCGCGGTTAAAATTGTTTGGTTGCTTATAGATTTCTATAGAGTTCCGGAATTTTAGTTGGTAGAAGAATTGATTATATACCAGAATTTTAGTTTTTTCGAATAAAATTTTATGTCCAGTTTCGCGATTGTGTTCGGCAACTGCTAATGATTTAGTTAATATTTTTCATCAAGTTTCTCTAATGTATTCTTTGCTGGAATGCTGGAAACTCCTGGTATCGCAAACTGAATTTTGTCTTTGATGGATCGAAGATCTGGAGAGATTTTGTGTTAAACCTAGTTTTGACGTTATATTTCTCATTGTTTTTGGAAGGTTGCGGTGAAGTGTATTTTGTGGTGGAACGCTTCATATCTCTATTGTCGAATTTATTAAAGAGACGGTCAAATGTAAGATGTTTTAATTCTGGGTTCAGTAACTCGGACTGAAAAAGTTTTACGGATCTGCAAACAAGACGATGATTTTTGTTCCGGATGATGATGTGACAATGTATGTGTAAACAGAAGGACCCAATGTTAGATCTGATTTTCTATTGATAAGAGTATCTCAGAATGGAATATTGTTATTAGTTTCTGGTAATGGTAAAACGGATGTTAGGGTGCATAATGTTGCTTTTAGATGGCAGGGATCAATGGCGTTCTTCTGAAAAATATATTCGCAATAATAATGGAGAACTCATAGCTGTTCCCGACGTTTGTTAATAAATTTGAGCGTTACAAGAAAAATATGTTCCAGACAATTAAGATGAGAATATTTGGTTCCCGATTATCGTATTTCTGTGTATTTGACATAATCTTGAGACTTTCAAGAATAGAGACTTTAGTAAAGATGCATATACTATGTCGAAACTAACCAGAATATCCTGTTGATCTAATTTTAATTGTTCAATGAAATGAAAGGAATTAAGTACGAAATTATCAGCTTTTTTAGAATAGAAGCTAGATATTTTACTAGAGAATATGTTGGAGAACCAATGGTGCTGACAATAGGTTGAAGGGGTAATCCTGGTTTGTGAATCTGAGTTAGTCCGTAGGGACGAGGAATTTTAGAGTCATGAGGTCAAGTTAAAAAGTTTTTACGGAGCACACTTCCTTTACTTAAAAAAAACACACCGGGGCGAAAGTAAATCGTGTAATAGTATATTTGTAAAAAAAACATCGCGTTCGTAAAAAAATATTTTAAGTCTCGGTGGGTGAGTCATCGGCTCGTTCCTCATCCGCCAAAAGTACATCGCGGTCGCCGTAGGTTTTCCCTTTGACCTCTTCGAGTCCTTCGCCGCCGTACGATAGGAGAGGGGAGATCTCGACGGCTCCGCCTTTGACTTCGCCGCCGTTGCTCTCGATCCACTTCTTGTGGAGTGCCATCAGGGCCCTCCTCGCGGTCGGGAAACAATCCGTCTTGCTGACGTCGCTGTTTTTCACGGGACTAAATTCCGTGCCGCGCTCGACGCGCCACGCCAAGAACCGACGGCTGTAAACGAAAGCGTCGAACACGAACTTTTCGATTTTGATGCCGTTCGGCGACGTAGGTCGGAACTTGTCGCCGTCGGGACCCACGTGAGTGACGATCTTCTTGGCGATGTGCAGGCCGAGCGAGTCCTCGTGATCGTTGGACACCTATTATTTATTTATTTAAATAAATAATTCAACTGAGGTGGCTTTTACTCGATGAAAATCCATTTAACACAATTAAATTACAACAAAAAGTAATAGATTATAGGGTGGAGATTTAAAAGGTTTAAATTTAACAACGAAGTGGTGAAGTGTGTGAGGGTTTATGGTAAATTGTTATGTAATTTAGTTTAAGGAGTTATCTAGTTCCGTCTGTATGGTAAATTTTTTACGGTTGGTTATGTATGCAGTTAATATGATTCGAAAGGACTGCAGTTGACTTTGCGCCCCAGTGAAACAAGCAAAAACATCATCCACGCATCTATACCACCAAGGAAATCTTTTGCTCAGAGGATACTTATGTCAGATATTTCGTACGTTGTCCATGAAAATTTCTGCAAGTAGTGGACTAAGTGATTTTCCCATAATTAATCCTTCTTTAGAAATATTGACCATTAAATTCAAAATAATTTTGGTGTATAAAACTACTAAACTGTCTAAGTCTTGCTTTATGACTTTAGGATTGACTTGCCTCTCAGTAATCAATCGTTGGAATGCTAGGAAGCAGATTTTGGACGTCAAATGAAACTAGAATTGCCGTAATGTCTTTAACCTTGTTGATTAGTCCGAACGAATTTTTGATAAAATATTTAGGTTCAAAGGCAAGCAATATGATATTCTAAAATTTTTATTAATCTTGTTGAAAGTTTAACAGCACCATCAGTTAAACAGAATTAATAGATTTTTTTCATAAATCCTAACACGCCGACATAGTAATACATGTGATATTCAAACATACATAATAACGCAAATGACCCTCACACACACAAAATGGCTGCCTTTTATTGTTTTATCCACAGGCTATTTAATATACCACTTTTTACAAAAAAATTTGAAAAAGGATTAAATATTACAAATAGTTTTTAACAATGGTTACGAGCAGTCTTTGCGAGATAAGATTATAACTAAAAAACAGTCTCAAATAACTCTGAACTCAATCCCATATTAAACACCGACCCGCAAATTTATAAAACAATAAATAAATAATAAAATAAAATAAAACTGAAAATACCATAGGAACATTTTTATAAAACAATAAAACTAAATCACGAAAAACTCAAAAATACGGAATCAACAAGTTGAAATTTTATGTTCTAATTTCATTGAAATAATTAACATAATCCAAAGGTTGATAAACAAATTAGTTTCACACACAAACAAAGATTTCACAAAAATGTGTTTCAAAAATTATTTATAAAAGAGAAAGTTGTTATCAAACAACACACATTTTCACAGCTTCATTTTCAAAAAATAGCAGCTAAAATCTGTTTAAAAGTCCTACTAAAAATTGTGAACATCCTTAATCAGTCGAAAACAGAAAGAACCGAGTCACCGTCACACCTAAGGGCTGTGAAAATTCTACCAATAAGAGAAATACCCGGTTAATCCATGTACATCATACCTTTCTTAAATTTAATAAGCCAAAGTAATTTAGCACAGATACTACATAATTGTCTCAGGAATAAAGGTGACCACAATAAAAAACAAAAAATAAAAATGCTTTCCAATCCTCGACCATATGTCTCAACAATACTGCCTTCAACACATATCCAGTAAAGATCTCGCAACTTGCAGTAGAGAACGCATACAATAATGTTATGGTTATTTCCACACGACGGGACACTGTAAAAAATATGGCCTCATCGCTGTACCAGATGAAACATATTTTGTTAGTAATAAAATTTATCAAAGTCCCAGACTGATTCCCAGTCCATATCCTGTCAAGGCTATTTTTAATCAAAAATTATTTAATGAATTTATTTTTATTTCTCACCTATTATTCTCATACCAAATAAATTTAGTAAAAATCTACAGTAGAACAAGCGCCCCCCGATTGAAAGGTAAATTACTTTAATAACTTTCCTTCACCGAAAAAACTATGATATATGATTGCCAGTTAAAATCCTGTCAAGAAAAATGATTGTCACGAATCAAAGTTCCTATTATTTTATTTGAAAATAGGGAGCAACAGTGAGCGCTATATATTTTATAAGGTAAGGCAGAGAAGGACGCATTATAGCATCTGCGCAGTAACCTCTATCAAAAAAGAAAAAGGTGAGTGTTTAGTTCTCTGTGTAATAGAAAAGGATAAGTATATTCTCCCACTTGGTTAGAGCATGTTGGAGAGACCTCGTTGTTAATATACTTGTTTTATGTGTATAAACGTCCTTTTCTGCTTCTAATATTTACTAGTTACGTTGAAAATTTACATAAAAAAATGAAAATGAAAAAGTGTTTTTTGTGTAGTGAAGAATCGAAAACTATGACGAACATTTTTTTAGAAACTGTTCTGCGGAACAAAAATTCAAAAAAATAAAAGTAAACAAGTAATATTGAAAATGTCTTGCCTTGTCTAGTTTTGAAAAATAAATAAATTTAGAATACTGATCACATTTCCATTAGCTCCAATGCCATCTGCTCTATTCTCATGTACTGGTGAAATGTTAAAAACAGACAAATGTGGCCACTGGCCAAAAATTTGAAATCTGAAGTCGAAAAAAAATATATCGAAACAAATAGAGGTTGAGATTGTAAGTGGCTTTTATTTTTTACATCTCATTGGATCTTCGATGCCTCAAACTTTTAGCAAAGTAGCTGAATCTGTTCTTATGAAAGTATGCTCCACTACTGCTAAAGAGGTGCACATAATTTTTGATGGTTATCTTACGCCTACAATAACGATACAGAGTGCCAAAACCGACAAGGATTTGAAGTTCCATTCATAATTACCAGGACTGAACAAGCTAGGCCTACCGACTTTCTTGGAAGTCTCAAGAATTACCCCTTCAAAGAGACCTTGGTTAAATTCTTCAGTAATAATTGGGAAAAGTGATCATTTAATGTCATTAATAACAACGAAAAAATTTGTTACAACCTTTAATTTTTCTCGTATCAAGCAATGGAGAATCGTGTAGTCAAAACTGAAGAAACTGATTTTAAATGTGACTATGAAGAAGCCGATACCCGAATTTTCACATTTCACAGTTTCACATTAGAAAAATTCTTCCAACTTCAAAAATTTTAGTAAAAGCATCAGATACTGATGTATTAATAATTTTGTTAGGCAATATTCATAAATTACCCGAATCGGAAATTTGGTTAGCAAGCTCGGCTAGTGAAACAAAAAATATAAAAGATCTCAACTGTATAAACTGCACTCAGTGACAGTGTCCCAGTTAGGACCTTATTTATATAAAAGTTTACCGGCGTTCCATGCGTTCACTGCCTGCGACTACACTGCAGCCTTCTACAATAAACGCAAAATCACATCTTAGAAAAATTTATTCAAAATTTCAACATTATCAAGAATATTTTGCATCGTTAAAAGATAGTGCCGATATTTTTATTGATAAAAAAATAGAGGCAATTCAAGAAGTTACTACTTTCTCTGATTCTTTATGATTCTCTCTGCTGAAAATCATTAAAGCAAAAAATTCTATGTGGCTTAAAGCTACCGATTTTTGCTGTGCTAAGCTAAATCCTGCACCATGCGGGTAGTATAGTGATGATGGCTTCTACAAGCCAACAGAGTTTCATGGGATCCAACACCCTTACAAGTTGACGACATTCTGCAGGTTACTGAAGAGGAAAATTATGACAACAACAATATTAAATTACAATATTGCAACTTCTGATGAAGCGGATAGTGAATAATTCTGTGTTTAATACTGATTAATTCATGAACATTGACAGGAAAAATGCTGGCTATCAGGGGGCTTATTCTACATGTTATTTACTATAGAAAATTAATTGATTTTTAATAAAAAATAGCCTTGTCAGGACTGCCAATTAATCGGAGAATTACTTGTTAATAAATTTTAATATTAAAAAAATATATTTCATCTGGTATAGCGATGAGGACATATTTTTTACAGTGGGATCTTAGACTATAAAAGTAAATAACGAAGTTATACAAGCAGCTAAGTTCAAGAATCTTGGGCGTTGGATTGCTGAAGATTTAGATACAGATATAAAGGTTAAAAGCCAGAACTGACCAGGCCCTTAGCACTTTCGTTTGTAACAGAAATTTAAAACTAGACGGGCGATATCGCGTGATTAGGTGCTACATTTAGTCTGTATTCTTATTCTGAAGTCATGAGATGAGAAGAGGCACACGAAGAAGAAGAAGGTTACTAACCCGCAGAAGCTTTGCTCAGCGTTCGATTTGTATTACTAAACACCAACCACAAAATTATTTTGAATTCAACATTTTTAGTTTTTTTCCTTTTCCACAAACGTTATTTCTCATCCAGTGCGCACGCTTGAAATAAAACAACGAAAAAGAAATGTGTAAAAAGTCCCCCTTGCAGACTAGCTCTTAAACAAAGACCATAACCAAAATTTGTTCTCAGCTTGCTTTGACTTTGACATACCAACAAGCCGGCCACCCCCCGCTTCCACAAAGAATCAATGGGCGTCATACATAATACACAATAAGACATAATGCGGACTATGTTGAAATCGCCTATCTGTTTTCCACTGAGGATTGATTAATAATTAGCATTAATACATAGGAGCGCAGTTACACATTATATAAACTTTGATAACTATAACCTAAAAATTTGTGGTCAATTGAATTTGTTTCAACATACCCGCTCCAGGAAATCCAAGGTGAAGAAGTGGCTGCAAATATTTCCGGCACTGAATTTGAGCTGACCGTCTTCGTCCTTGGACTCGGCAGTTTCCGGTGGAATCTCGCTGTACTCAATGACTTGGTACTTGTCTTCAATTTGACATATCACGCCGAGCGGTTCTTTGGGATCGGTTTTGAGAACCACTTTGGCCCCTAAAACTTGTTACCATAAAACGCGTCACCATTTGGTGTGACGGGGGTTATTTTACCGCAATCGATACCGTCCTTTATACATTTGCCTATAAATATCGGGTCGGCCACTCTGACTAGAATATTGTCAACTCCGTGCACATGAACATATTTTATGCCGCTTTCTTTTAACTGTTTTAACAAGCCCGATGTCTTCAGGGCTTTATATAAGCCTCCGTTCCCTGAATATGTTTAATGAAAATGTTGCGTTTGAAGTATATGAAGTCCCTATTCTATTTCATAGTGGTATACCTACCGTCAGGTGCTAAAGCGACCGAATCTTTTTCCTCCAGAATTATTTTCCCGTCAAAATCAAAACAGGGCAGCTGATGTTGCTTAAACAGCTTTACGTTTTCTTTTGGTAAACCAAAGTACTTATTTTGTTTTAAAAATTTGTCGGTAAGCAAATCGGTTGCCTCGCTTGTCATCAAGCACCAAATGACGCGGCCCTCTTGGCCGGTTTTCTGTTTGGCAAGTTTAATCAGCTTGCGTATCCTTTCTGCTTGTATTTGAAACAACGTTTTGCCTAAAAGCCTACATTCAACATCACAAACGACCATTGCTCGACTTAAATACCAGAGGGCAGGCCCACGGGACACATTCCTTTCGGATACGGCAATCCGAGTCTCGTAGCTTGCCCACCCGATAGTACAATTACCGCCACCTGGCTCTGGGCTATCGCGTCAAGCCCCACGGAAAAATATTCGTTTAGTAAACTTTCGTTCAGATCTTTCTCGATTTCGACTTTAACCGGTCGCATTTTACTGTCGCAGATTTTATTCTCGCCGGCGCTCGTCTGAGCTTTTTCGTACAACTTCAGCACCTCTTTAATGTCGATGGACTGCAGTTGTTCCAAAAGCTCTTTTCGCTCGCTTTCAGTTAACTCCCCCGAGTATTTTAATAAGTGAGACTGTTGATATTCGGATAGCAAATTTTGCATTTCCAAAAAACCGTCCATTTTTGTAATTTTTTGAAAAAAAGTTAGCGACTTTGAGGTTCGAGGCGTCAGTCTTCGTCCTTTTTCTATAGAATCCATATCACCCGACTGTTAAAACGCAAGTTGGGGCCTGAATGGTGGTTGCAGGAGGAAGAGGAGCGAAGCGGTATTTTTTGTAAAATAATCTTATATACTTTGTATATATTGTAAGAAGAAATTAATTGTTCAAAAAATTATGTGAATGGATATTTTGCTGTCACACTGAAAAAAGAAGGAAAAAATAAGAACTAGCTTTGATGGATTCTGTGGTGGAGCATTGCACGCGGCGGTTTAACCTCCATTCGTTCCCGACAGAATCCCTTGTATTCGTCCTCAAAAGTTTGATATCGGTTTCTGTGCCATCAGGCAACCGATGCAATCAGGGAGATTCCATGGTTCGCGCGGGACTCGGTTCTATGGTAACCATGCTAGTAGAAGGTCACGAAAAATTGTCCACATTGTGTTGAACACCGACATAACATAAAAGAAACATTTTATAAAGATAAAACTGTAAGTAGACCATGGCAGAAAATCGCGGTCGATTTTTATAAAATCGAAAAATGGTACATGATAGTTGTAGACTATTATTCCCGGTTCTTTGAATTCTTTGAGCTAAGTAGTTTAACTGAGGATGCTATTATTCCAAAAATGAAAGAACTGTTTTCCAGATATGGTATTCCTGAAGTTGTAAGATCCGATAACGGTAGCAAATTTTCTAAAAAATTTAAAGATTTTTCCCAAAAATACGATTTTACACACATTACTTGTAGTCCCAATTTTTCTCAAAGCAATGGGGCGGTGGAGAGGGCTGTTCAAACGGAAAAGCGTTTGATTAAAAAGAATAGAAATGATGACATATTTCTAGCATTAGCTTACAGGACAAGTCCTTTAGAACATGGGTTCTCACCCTGTGAACTTCTTATGAATCGAAAATTGCGGTCAACACTTCCCATCTTGCCGAGCAAATTAGATGAACCGTTAAGTCCTCAATCGCATTTTTTGCAAAAAGAAAAGTCTTTAAAACACAAATCACAGAGGAATTATAACAAACGACACAATGCTAAAGATATGGACACACTCAAAGTGGGCGACTCAGTGTGGGTGGTCGATATTCGCAAATATGGCAAAGTTATCGAGATTTGTGATGAACTGCGTTCTTATGTAGTCGAAACTGATTTGGTCAATACCGCCGAAATCGTTGGCACCTAATCTTAGCACCCTATTATTTACCACACACCCAAACTGGATTGCCACAAAATTTGTTGGATACTAATCTAAGTAGTGCGTCATCTTCGTCGTAGCAATATCGCGAATCTAATCCAAGTGTGTCAAAAGAAACTAACGGAAATCCAAGTATGGAAGGGGGTGCTCTCCCTCAGAGTGATTCAAGTGAAGTGCGCGACCTAAAGACTGAAGTTACGCAAGATATTACAGTGCATAAAACTGCGACACCGGCTAGGCCAAAGCGTGACGTTAAAAGGCCTGCATATTTATCCGACTATGTTTAAGTTATTTGTCCGCGAACCCGAGCTTTGTTATAAAAAGGGGGATGTGCCATCAGGCAACCGATGCAACCAGGGAGATTCCATGGTTCGCGCGGGACTCGATTCTATGGTAACCATGCCAGTAGAAGGTCACGGAAATAAAGGTGTTAAAAACGTATATTCGGCGTATGTTATCTAAAATGTTATAGACAATAACACGACAGTTTCCACTGTGTGGACTTAGTGTTTTTAGTGTTCAGTGCATGTTTTAAAGTTATAATTGTCGTCGGCCCCGTCGTTTTTTGCTGTTCACGCCGGATGGGCCCGGGTGGAAGCCGATTTTTTCGGTATCGGTAGTTATTGGTTATTTTTCTTCTTTGTACGTGTTGGTCATTTACCAGAAACGAAAATCCTCGACGGAAGTCGGCAATGGGCAAATGATCCTAGCAGTAGGGCCTAACAGTGTTTGTGAAACGTATCATTATCTTAACTAGCATTGATGAATATTATTTAAAAATTGGTTCTTTGAATGTTCACATTGTTTGTCTGATATAATTTTTAGGACATAATTCACACTTTATCCATTAGACTTCGGAAATTTGCTTTTTTTGTGATTTAGTTTGATGGTTTGTTAAATATTTTCCCATGGTTTTTTTAGTTTTTGTGATCACATTTAGAGAGACGTTTCTTTAGTTTCTGGCTAGGTTCTCCTATGTATTTTATCGGTCTTTAATATCGGATAAATGTTTTTTAGTTATCTTATCTATCGAAGCTATTTGTTTTATATAATTTAATTCTATTTCAAAACTTTCTGCATAAAATGGTATATTAAGCGGGCTGCGGACAAAATTATTAAAAGCCATTTTGTACATGTAGAGGTGCTTAGATGTATTTTATATTACGTGAGAGCTTATGATAGAAAAATCAAATTTGTTTTGTGATTTGCTTAGTTAGTAAATTACAGAGAGTTTAAAGAATTATCGTTTTTCGTCTAGATGGTGAATTTTACACGATTATGTAAAGAATTGATGAGGTGTGTACTTGTCTTTTAGTTACAGTGAAAAAAATAAACACATTACACCATCAAAGACAACTTTTACTCGGAGCTTTTTATATACGGTATTTTTGTAAATTGTCCATGAAAATTTCTGCAAGTAATGGATTAAGTGATCTTCCATATTTAATCGTCTAGAAATATAAATTTGATCGTTAAATTCAAAATTATAAATAAATTCGAATATCCTATCATATATTTCAGTACAAGAATTATATCCACATTATAACAACCTTAATGATAATCACTTTTTAATCACTTAATGCAAAAATTGACAAAAAATTAAGCGAGTCCTTCAACAGTTGTATCTTGACGAAGCCGGTTGTCCTGTACTTTCCGTTCTTCTGGAGATAGGGAGATGATGTTCTGGATGTTCAGTATCAAATCGAGCAAGTGAATAAAATCAACTTTGCTGTGCATGCTCCTGAAGCTGACTTCCTGCAATGATCGCATGTTAAAGCGCGTAATTAAAGAGGTAATCTCCTTTACCGAAAGATATTCCCCGATTTCCGCTTTTTGGCTATCCGCGAATTCATCCGAGTTTACCAGAATATCGTTAAACTGTTCCAGTATCTACAAGCGATCCTAAAATGAGCCCCCAAATTGCATATAGTTGAAAAGCCATACCTTTTGTGTCGGATAAGCTTCCAACGTTAATTTGTCTGTGAATGCGATCACTTTTTCGATGCCTTCATTTCGTTGGCACATGCCTATTAGGTCGACAACCCATTGGTGCGGCACCACCATCATTACATCATAAACACTCTCCAATGTAATATAGCTGTCCTTCCCTATGAGATTAGCGCAACTTTGCAAAGCGGTTATAGCCCTGCGCATATCCCCGCTACTGGCTTCGACCAAAGATTTTAGAACCTCGTCCGTTACCAACACGCCTTCTTCTTGCGATATATAACGCAACCTGAGAATAAGGGAAAAGTAAAATAAACGTTTGTTGATGTTTCCAGATACTAAGTATTGTTATCAAAGGTATATACATACATTACACATTTAGAAAAAAAACAAGTATTAAAAATCAATAGATTCCAATCAAAAGATTTACAAACCAGGATTACCCGTTCGACCTATTGTCAGCAAAATATCTAGCTTTTCATACTTAATTTCTTTCATGTCAGTGAACAATTAAAAACAAATACATTAGATCCAAACGATATTCTGGTTAGTTTCGACTTAGAATGCCTCTTTACTAATGTCCCTATTCCTGAAACTCTCAACATTAGTTCCAACCGAACCTTTTCATCTCAAATTTATGAACAAACGTTGGGGACAGCTATGGGTTCTCTATTGTCACCAGTCATCGCGAATATATTTAGGGAAGTCTTTGAGAAGAAAGCCCTCAACACCTTCCACCTAGAACTAAAATTATGGAAACGCCACTGTGATGATACTTTTGTTATTTGGCGTCATGGTCAAGAACCCCTCAGAGACATTTTTATCAATAGAAAATCAGACCTAAAACTGGGCATTCTGTTCACAGGAAACCTACTCACACAGACCTTAGTACAATGTCACATCACCATCCGGCCCAAAAATCCTCGGTGATCAACTGTAACCATTACAGAGCTGTAAAACTATCTCAACTCGAGTGACTGAACTAAAAATTAAAACCCCTTACATCTGCCCTTTGTTCTAACAATTTACACATTAGAGATATTAATTATTATAACAAAATCCACTTTATCACAACCTTCCAGAGACAATGAGTTCGAAACCAACCACACACTGACCACATATCGAAAGTTCTTAAGAAATACAACGTCAAAACCAAATTTACCTGTTGTCAAAAAATATTTCAACATCTTCGATCTATCAAAGAGAAAATTCCGTTGCGAGTTTACAGCATTCCATGCATATGCGGCAAAGAAAACATTAGAGAGACTCAAAAAACATAAAAAAGTCTTAAGACTACGACAAATAAACTCAATAAATTCTACCACAGAAAATGGGAATCAGTCATCCGAGACAATGTTCATGCCCCTCTTTTAGCTTCGCCTCCCTCAAACAATATATAAGCAGATACACAGTAGACTGCGAGCCAGTTTAATGTTTAGCTCTGAAGAAGTCAAAAGTATGATTGGCGAAACGTCTGCAATTTTGATTTATAAACAACCCACGAAGAAGGAATCCAGAAGATGTGTAAATAGTAATAAAATTGAACAAAATACTGAACACTCTAATACGTACAAGCATTGTTTGCAAGATATCTTTACAAATTTACCTAAGAGGATGTCTCTTATTGCTTACAACAATTTAGAGTTCAAACAAACAGTAAAGGCCGATTAACGCAAGATTTTTTAGTAATAAAAATAGATTAATAAATAGTACTACAGTATCCTGCAATATTAAAAATCAATATACTTTACCTTACTGTTCAATAAATTTTTCACGGTACAGAAAGATTCTTAATTTGAAAGTGGTTAATTCTATTTAATATTATTGGGTACCTTATTAAAGAATTTTACATCAAAATAGTTTATGCTACACCTAGAGTTGTTTTCAAATAGAGAATTAGCAGATATTCATTTTCTCATTTTCTATACGGCTTTTGCAATGGCAGAGCTGGGGAGGCGGTACAAGAGAGAGAGTTTTTATTAATACACATAGGCATTTAGTTGAGCGTGGATCATTTGAACATAATCGTGGACAGGGGAGACCGCAGGGAGACTATTATTTGGAAGTGAGTCTTCTTAATTTAATTGAAGATATAATTTTACCACTGCTATTGTTACATTAATTCAGGGGCGGATCCAGGATTTCGTTTATGGGTAGGGGGTATTTCGTTCACGGGGAGATGTTTTTGTATGATTAGTAAAAATAAACTAACTTATTTTTCCAAAAATCAGTCACTCTTAATGCGTCAGCATTAAGGCTAATTTCCAAATAAGCATCGCAGGGAAGGCGGATTAATGAATTAAATGACACCGTTTACACAACTTTTTAACGTTTTGCGTGTAATTATATTAATGTGTTTTTAAAACGCCGCGGACAGACGCGACGCACTACCTTTCTCGGTGGTGATTAGGTGGAAATTAGCCTTAAAGGTATTTTTTTAAAATGTTTTCAAAAATTTCTTATTATGATTGTTAGTCCTGCAACAATTTATTTTTCGGGTGTGTAGAATGTTAAGAATGCAAGGTTTTCATCCCTATCATTACCAGCGTGTCCAAGCCCTTCGACTCCAGGACTTTTTGCCAAGAATGGCTAAGTACCTAAGAAACCACGAGGAACGCGTTCCTTTTATTATGCGGAGCGACGAAGTTACATTTACAAGAGATGGTGTTTTTAATATTCACAATCACAGGCAAATCCTCGGGTTGTTAAACAGGGATATTAAACAGCACACTTTTCGGTCTGATTGAAATTCCATCAAGGCTTAATGCAAATGACTTAACTTTATAGAAACTCATATTGACAATATTTTAGACGATTTTCCATTGAATGTTCCAAAAAGCTTCATTTTCAGCAAGACGGAGCACCAGCTTATTACGGTGTTAATGTTAGAAACTGGCTGAATGAGCGGATCTGGGGTATTGTAGTATATAGTATATAGTATACTAGTATAGTTTCAGTCAAGCTCTGAAGAAACGAACAGGATGATTGGCAAAACGTCAGCAATTTCGACTAAGCAAAAACCGACACAGGAGGAATCCAGAAGAAGTTTTGTAAAAAGCATTACAGTAGCCTGTGGAAGTTTCTTTGAAAAAAAAAAAGTATAGTATATGCAACAGAAATTGACAGCGAGGAGGTATTGCGCGAAAGGATACGCTTGGCAGCAAATCAAATTCGACAAAACCATTTCGAAGTTTCACATGCCTCACATAGAGCCCGATTTTGCCTTCGCGAGAAAGGCAACCTTTTTGAGCACCTTCTTTAAAATGTAAAGTTTATAATTTTTATTAGAATAATTAGCTTTACGGTTGATAGTTTGATTCGTCTTTCGTTAATAAGAACAATCCAAGTAAAAACTATTTTTTACCAACAATGAAGAAAGTTTTTACTTTCTTCATTACTCCTGCGTCGGTTTTTGTTGAGTCGAACTAGCTAACGTTTCGCGAATCATCCTGTTGGCTTCTTCAGAACTTAACTAAAACTTCAATTAGTCAACAGGATAATTGGCGAAACGTTAGCTAGTTCAACTCAACAATAACCGACGCAGGAGGAATCCGGAAGTTTTTGTAAAAAGTATTACAGTAGCCTGTGGAAGTTTCTTTGAAAAATTAATGAACATAATTGAAAGCTGTCGAACAATTGACATTTAATTTTTATTTACCCAGTAACACAAAAAAATCAAACGCGTCATTAACTTCCAAGGCTTACTAATGATTATCTGCACCTCGACTGTAAATATTAAAATAAAAAAAATATTTTGTAATTAAATTTTCAAAAGCATTTTTCTCGAAAACGGTGTGTTCTAGCGACAAGGGTACCTTATTTACGTAGAAAACTTCATATTTCTAAATTCTGCAATCCAACTTATGAAAATACGACAAACAAAAAATTTTTCACGCGCCCTGTGTTACCCACTCCTGAAGACAATCCAATACTAAGTATTAGTTCGTTCAATTGAGCCTAAAAAGTTTAGTAACTGTACCAAATTTTATTTAAAAATATTTACGTGTTTCGAAAATATTTACAAAAAATCGCCATCACCTCTTCAAATTTAACACCCTGTATGTTAAAAACTAAGACGTTTTGGACCCTAGTTTATATGCACTTTTATCCTTATTTTGGGTCACAGAATATGTGGTTAAAATATTGACGTCTAATTTAGTTATACCCTGTATAAACTAAGCAATTCAATATATATTTAAAAATCCCGGTTTATTAAAGTGTTCGTTTACGTCAGCTCTCCATGCACGTTACTTCATCCTTGGTAATGCTTTTTTACACATCTTATAAGAAATATGGTCTTGGATAACTTTTTGGTAGTCATATCAATATGAGCTACAAATGAAAGTTTGGGATCAAAGTAAATTTACAAGAATATTATTTTTATTTTTTTGATTTTTATTTGCCTTGTCAATATTATTAATATAAACAAAGAACAGCGAAGGTGAAAGCACTGATCCCTGCAGTGCTCCATGATTTGCAGCCCCGCCAATAGAGGGTTCATTCCTAACCCCAATAAACAGTGTGCATATATTCTATTTGATAAGAAATTTTCTATTAGTTTTGCAGTACTTCCACCAACCATAGTTTTTTTTTTACAGGAGTTCATCTAGAAATGGCACTTTAAAAGTTCTAAAACTCACCTTTCAAAAACAAATTCTTCTTTTAATGGTTTAAACCTAAATTTTGTACATCTGGATGTTAACGGCTCAATAATCCTGGACACATAGTTACAAAGTAGACAAAAACGTGTTGTTTTCGTTTCTTTTTCCATTGTCCTTCTCAAAGCGGCCTGAGCTGCATGGGTCATAGCGTCCGCTTCATCCAGGATCACAATTTTTAAGGCTGGACAGAACTTTCCACTAAAATAAACAGGATTAATTTCGTAATAAGTGACAGTAACAGTTAACAATTACTCCGCACGTGATCCGCCGACGGTGAGCTGGGAAAATGTCTTGATTTTATCTCGAACGACCTGAATGCCTCTTTCGTCAGAAGCGTTGAGTTCCAATATCCGATCTTTATACAAATCTCCAAAAAGTTGACGAGCAGCGGCTAAAAATTATGGTACTTTTAATGCATATTGATTCTCATTGGGCCATAACATGCTACCAAGAATGGTGCTAGTTTTTCCTGTGCCAGGAGGGCCGTAGAACAACAAATTTGGCAAGTCGGCCCCGGTTATACACTCTTGGAGTACCGATACGGCTTCGTTTTGCTCGACAACGTCTTCTACTGATTTCGGGCGACTGAAATTGTGAAGTTAAGTATTTGGCGGGTAACGACCAACTTTTATTTACTATTTTTCGACCCATTGTTGTTTCCTTGCCTTCTTTTTGCTTGCTGCCGGAGTCGATGTTTTGCTACCACCGCTGTCGCCTAATTTACCTGATTTTAGAAACGATTGCATTATACTTTAAATAGGGAGGTTATGGCGCCAAAATTAACGGCAGCAGACAAGTTCTTCCTTTCGTTTGTAATAGAGTTGGACAAAATAGTAAAGAATATTTGCCCAAATAGAATTCACAGGATTTTTGAATCATTAATTAAGAACCAACTTTTCCATTATTTGGAAAATAATATATTATCAGATATATAACAGTTATCTCTAGACTTATGGATACTGGTCGATAGTCTCGAGGAAAGTTAATTTGTAGGGGTGAATGGCTGCGATGTCACCAAAGCTAGAATTTTCAGAGATAACTTTAAATTAATTTAAAAATTATGACCTTGATAAAATACTTTGCAATCCGCAACACTAACAAAACTTTACTCTGTGGTCTGTGTGATATTCATTATTAAACTCTTTCTAAATTGACTCCTATAAATGATCTATGGTCCAAAAAATCCCGAAATCACTTTTAGGCGCAATTTTAAAACAATGGCGGAGCCGAAGACATACTGCGGAGCCAGTTCGCATCACGTACATTGCGAGGACTACAAATTTCAGCATAAAATACCCCTCAGATTATTCAATACGGACAAGAAATACGATAATTTTCGGTGGTTGGATATAAAAAGATGCTCGGGTATGTTTTAAGCGGTGGTTATAGTTTGTAGCCTTATGGCTTTTTAGGAGTTTTAGATTCGCATACATTTATTAATGTGTCTGGAGTTCAGGTGCTCGGCATCATTGATTGCGAATTTGTGGAGATCGGTGTAAAATCGTTTGAGATTTTGCAAGGCCTTTCTTCAATTAGTGTTTGGAAATCAAAATTTCCATTTACCGATGCTTCCTTCGATAATTGCCCCAGTGTTAAGAGTTTAAGCTTCATTAAATGCCCAAACACTGTCATGCTAAAGGGGTTGGTCAAGTTAAACAACTTGGTGGACTCAAGCATTCGGCAAACCAATGTTCTTATTGATTGCAGCCTGGCGGGGTTTAATATGTTAAAGAGCTTGTTTATTGATCGGAGCGTGGTCAATGTGAATGGTGGCGCTTTCGACGACCTAAAAGAACTAGAGTGTCTATCCCTGTCCAACAGCAATTTGGAAAATTTTGATTACAAAGTTTTACTCAAGTTGCAGAGCTTGAAAAAGTTAACCTTTTTTGGAAATACCATCGGAAACCAAACAGAATTGATCGACTACCAAATATTTGACAGGTTGCCGAATCTGGAGGCGATTATGTTTCCTGCCGAGGCGGTGAAGTCGCTAAACTTTCGCGCCTTTGGCAAACTGAAACTGGTTCAGTTGGACATTAACGACGAGGCAGCGGAGCGCCTGTTAAATTTTTTGACGGAAAAGAATATTATTTTCGAATGGACGAGTTTCGACGAATTGCCTGACATAGATGAGCATGATCCAAATATCTTAGTTTGCGCTTAAATATAAATAACACCAAATATTTTATGTAACTAGCAAACATTGATTAATCTTTTGTAATTTTAGGAATTTTCTACCAGTCTTTGAACCTTATAGATTTTATGTGTATTGTGATTTTCAAATGATGTAATACAGTATAATTATTGAATTTGTAGTTTTTCCATCAATAATTTTTAATGTCCAGAGTGATACCCTCAGTGTTTCTGTTGGACAATGTAATTGTTTCTCTCAAGGGCCTATAAACTCTACTGTGAGGATACACATTCAGTTTACCAGACCCCAAATGCAACTTGGCTTTATATTTTTAAAGTGCTGTCAAATTGTACATGTTCCTCAATCTTAACATATGGTTTTAGCGGGATTTACCTTTTAGTAGGTACACATTTTTGCTTGGTCACGGAGTGTCAACCGATAAACTAGACTTCGGACGCATGATTCAAAGTTGTGTACTTTGTATCCTACTAGGTGTGATTTGACTTCCTCTGGTGAAGATGGGAGCAGGAAAAGATGGAGGGAGGCCAACGAGACAATGAGGGAGGTTCTCTAGAGCCGAACTACCAGATAGCTCGCCATAGGACCATCAATCTGGCAAAACCGACTGCCAGCCCCCTTGTTTTTCTTTTTGGAGCCATCTCTCGTTAGACGCAAGAACTAATTAGTTGGGGATGGCGCAGTTATGGCACCACCTCTCGCCGAACGTCGTAACTAATTCGTTAAGGAAAAAAACAAAAGATGACAAAAGCATGGAGCGATTGATGATGAACAAAGAAATCAATTCGTTCATGCAACTCCATTAGATGACGCGGTCCGTTGTTGTAATGTTCTCTGTTTAGGTGCTGAAATATTTTTTCAAATATCTCGCGCCCTGTATAATTCACGAAACGGTTTACGATACTGTTCAAATAAAATTATCCCATATTTAACGGTTTTTCATTTATCGCCAATAATTTACCTACAAAAACGGAAATTTTTAGGATATTTTAGATTTTTTGCCCATAAACGACACATCCTGGATATAATTCAATCATTGTTCGAAGTAGAGGTTATACCCCTGGATTTTCCACGGGTCCTAGTTCAAGAATTTTTTGAAAATAGTAAATGGTTTTCTAGAAAATACGTTTTTTCTGAAAGCATGCAGTGCGCCGTAATAATGAATGACGTCATCTCGTCTTGACAGCAACCGAAACAACGATTTCAATATGGATTTTTTCAAATATCCCGAGCAGCGTATGTGATAAATGAAAACCGCAAATATAAAAATTGTAGCTCTTGATGCGGCCTAAGACACCATTCGAACCAATTATCTAAAAAATGCCCGAAATAAATGTTATTGCACTGGATCTTCTGCCGGTTAAAAAATTTTGCCAATCGGATGAACGATTACGGAGGAAAACATATTTTTCTGGAAGCTAAAATTTCCAAAAAAAAAAAATTAATTGTTTTAAAAAAATACTTGGTAAAATTTGATTGCGCCCAATTTCTACTGTTTAAATGTGGACACGGACTTTTACTTCTCTGCTAAATTTGAACATGCAAATTTAGGACATTTAATACATTTCTTATTTAGCACTGAATATCGGGAACACCCTGTACAATAGGTGAAAACCTTAAATACAAAAGTTTTTGCTGTCTATGCGGGCTATTCCACAATATAAAAGAAAATGAGATCTGAATAATAGTTTTCCAGTTATAACCAATTTTCAATAATAGGGGGACCCATTTTTCAGTTTTTTTGAATTTGTGGCGCACCCTGTAAATTTGTGAAAAATTGTCAAGAATAAAAGTTTATTCTTCAGCTTCTTCTGGTTCAAGAATTTTGTTGGTCTAGTAAACACTTTTTGAAAAATAATGTTTTTTGTAGACTTTTGCACGCGCATTTTTCATTTTTTTAAAATACTTCCCGACCTCTCCGCCCCCGATTTTCAATAGGTTCCGTCACGGGACAAAGCTACATATATGTGCCAAATATGAAGTCGATTCCTTAAAATTTCGGATACTTATCGTGTTTCATAGCAAGGTCCAAAAAACAGTCGAAAATCGCAAAAAAAAGATGGATACCGGCTTCCGATTAGGGCCATCTCTTATAAGCTCGTGGAGGGTTAAAAAGAAGACAAATTTCAATTTTGTATCTCCAACGGTTCCAAAGATATTCAGGAAAAACCAAAAGACGAGAACGGAGAACGGACAGACAACAAATTTTTTTTTTCGACGGTGGTCATTTCTGTAGGACTTACCGTTACCGAGGTATAAAATTTTTATGCGAGCGTAGGTACTTTCGAAAAATTCGATTTCGTCGATTTTCGAAAGTAACAAGATTGCTTTCGAAAAATCGTCGGTGGGCGGGACAAGTTCGTAGCGCTTAGCGCGAAGAAGCTTTTTATTTTAAAAAGGTGGCGCTTCGCGGTTTCTTATCCATTGTTTCTCTATAGTGCTCCTGCAGACCACTATGGAACGTTCGCAAAATCGATGTAATTTTAGTATGCCATACAACCTGTATAAAACATCTTTTAAGTCTCGGCGAACTTCAAAGTGACAGCAAACTTTGATAATTTGGGATTTTTTTTTAATATCTCGCTCACCCTGTATGATAGACGAAACCTGGAACTCTTTCGATGCAGTTTACGATACTGTTTAAACCAAATTACTCCTATTTTTATAGCTTTTTATTAACGGCTAATAATTTACCCACGAAAACGGCAATTTTCAGGGTCTTTTTCATTTTTTGTCCATAATCGACACATCCTATACATAATTGAAAAAATGCCGCAAATAGAGGTTTTAGCCTTGGATCTCAAATATTTCTTGATCCAACAATTTTTTCAATGAATTAAATGATTTTCGAGAAAATAATTTCTTTCTGAAAATATGCAGTCCGCCGTAATAGTCAATGACGTCATCGCGTCTAAATTGGGCGCGAGAATCAGCGATTTTCATATGGATTTTCAAATATCCCGAGCAAAGTATGTGATAGACGAAAACCGCAAATACAAAAATTGTTTGAACCGATTGGCTATATTTTTTACGAATTATGATTTGCGGTTAATAATTTATTCCCAAAAAGTACAATTTTCACGGTCTTTTAGATTTTTGTCCACAATTGAAAAACCCTGTATATAATCGAAAAACTGCTTAAAATAAAAGTCAGAACCCTGGATCTCCCGCATTTTCTGGATCTAAAATTTTGCCGATCGGTTGAATAGTTTTTGAGAAAATCATGTTTATCTCGAAGACAAAATAATCAAAGAAAATTTTTCAAAATTATTTAAAACATATTTGGCGACATTTTATTACGTTCAATTTCTACTGTTTAGATCTACGTACGGACTTTTACTTCCTTGCCAAATTTGAAGTCGATGACTACATATTTGACACCTATGACGTTTTAGAATATAGCACAGAATATTCCGAACACCCTGTACAATATGTGAGAACCTTAAATGCAAAAGTTTTAGTTTTAGAATGTGAAAGAAACTGGCAACAGAATCACAGCCTTCTAGTTATGGTCAATTATCAATATTCAGTTTTTTGTAAATAACCGACGCACCCTGTACATTTTTAAAAAATCTTCAAGAATAAAGGCTTTTTGGTCCGGATCTTGCGCGTCGTTTGGTTAAAGAATTTTTTCGATCGTATATACCGTCTTGGAGAAATGTTTTTTTTCGATACCCTGCAAGTACAGTTTTTAAATTTTTAAAAATACTTCCCGACCCCCCACCTCACCCAGTTTCAATAGGCTTCGTTATGGAGCCAAGCTCCATAGATCTGTCAAATTTTAAGTGAATGGCTTCAAATTTCGGATACTTATCGTGTTTCATAGCAATGTCCAAAAAACAGTCGAAAATCTAAAAAAAAGATGGACGCCTTGGTTTGATCACACTCATTTTTTACTGGTTAGTGTACCTCGTGCATGGCTTAAAAGGAGCCAAATTTGAAGATTGTGCTGCAAACCGTTGAAAAAATATAGCCAATTAATTCTAGGTCTATAGAGAAACGGAGAACGGAGAAGAGAAAAAAATTTTTTTCGACGCTGCTCATTTTTGTACCAATGGCGGTCCGGTAGGACCTACCGTTGCCGAGATATAAGTTTCGTTGCCAAGCGCGTATACTTTCGAAAAAGATTTCATCGATTTTCGAAAGTACCGACGATTTTGACGGTAGAACCGGCTGCGTGACAAAAAACACAAGAATTTCGAATCTTTTAAAACTTCGCTACTTGTTTCCGTGTTTAATACGAAAACCAATGTTATGTGGAGACATCTATCATCTATCGAACTCATTTCTAATTGCCGTTAGAACACAGTGAACGCCGAAAGACCTAAAGCACGGAATACTGCGGTCAGTTTCGCTGAATCGAAAGCAAAGAACAAAAAATGTTTTCGGTTACGTCGCGTTCGTTCGACATTGATCGTTAGCAAATAACGTTGCGCAATATGTTATCAGCGGGCAGGATTGACGTTTTTTTCGTCGATAATTCGCGCCGACCTTGAAGGACGGAATATCCACATGGAACTTCCGCGAATTGTTCGTTGTTGGACGAAAACGTACACCACCTGCGAAACAAAGGAACGTAGTTTCTTCGGGTAACTTTAATCGAATGCCAGTGAGGCGAAATAAAAAAGCGATCCGTCGTCTCGTTCGGAATTTGTTTGGGCCGCTCTGTGCGAGGCGAATTTAACGATAATCGATAGCGGGTTTGCTCACATCGACGACGAAATTTCCCATTCGCATTTGGCCAGAACTACAGACGGGTTTTATTGCAACAACGACGCAAATACGACCGCTTGCCAAACGTGCGTGACATATACGCGCGATGCACATGCAGTTACGTTGTCGTTTAGAGGCAAACGAACCCTTTAACTTTGATCCCTGCGTCCTGCGATCCCCGGTAAGTAAACAGCTTTAAAATTAAGCTGCGATCGTCCGTCATTAAAAAAAGACGGTTTCTCGGTCTCATTATCGTTTCGAGGACCTCGTCTCGCCCATCAGCTGATTCCGCAGGGTCACCGTTTAAAAGGAGCTTAGGATTTCATTTATACGAGGGCGCTCAATGTGCACGAATGTCGACGTCTCGCGGCTGCGCTTTATAAGCCGCGTGTTCTTTGGGTCATGGGTGAAGGTTAATCAAAGTTTCAGAAGCAAGAAAGACTGAACTAATTAGACCCTTAATTATTAATAATAGTCAAGTTTTTACAAAAAATGTGGTCCGATAGGAAAAATAATGTGTGTCAGTCTATCATATGTCGTTCGCAGTCGATATTACTGAAATCAAGAATAACGAGGTTAGGTCACCCATATAACTATTAGACAATGCGGTAGCTCTACGATAATAATTTTTTTTTCAAAAATATTCTAACTTCGAGAAAACACTGTCGTAAATTTGCTGTATCCAAACTTATTGACAATCTGTCTGCGGCCATGTTGTTGTTCCTGTATAATCGGTATAGGCAAGGCCTCTATATATTTTAGTGCATAAAAAAATAAAAAAACAATTTACCGAAGATTTCAAACGTTTCATAAAAAATATTAAAAATTTAGGTTATTTTTGAGTAATTTCATTGGAAAAAGTTTCCGTTTTTTGCCAATATGCCAACGTTTAACTTAATTTTTGTCACATTTTTTCACATTTTTCCGACCTAATTTTTCTTTTTTGTACACACTATACTTTAAAGTGTTGTTCAATCAGTTTCTTCAAATATACAATTGTAGAGTTCGTCAAAGTCGATACAAAGATATGCCTTAAAATATACAATAAAAAGACAAGTGATGACACTGTATACGACTATATTAAGGGTTTTTCTCTTTAAGCATTTATCGTGTGAAGTTTATATACGAATTTTTTTGAACTATTGTTTTTTGAAGTATTGGTCAATGAAATGGAGTTATTTCACTATAATATACGTTTCACTATAATATAGTTCCATAAGCGGTGATGCTCTATAGATCTAAAATATTTTTAACGCCGCGACGTTGCCGATTCTTCGAAAAAGTAGCATCAACATTGAAATTTTAAGTGGGACACCATGTATATTATTGCATTTTCCGATCCGCTAATATTTTGTGATTATTTTTGAATATTACATTTCAATATCAAATTCACTATTTTCTTCACTTTTCGATCAAAACCTAAATTAAATTTTTGCTACTACGACACTGGAGGCAGAAGAAAGTTAAGATGTTGGACGTAGCTTAGGGAGGTACATTTGTTCTTAATATTGAAATTAGTTCTATATCATATATGGTTGGTCAAAAGTAATGATTTAGAGTTATAAAAATGGTGGAAATGCATTTTTTAAATGGAACATCCCTAAATCCTTTGGTTTCAGAAATAAATGCAAGTTTCTTTGAAAATTGGAGTACTTTGGCATACTTCATCATTCAGGTGGCCTTGAAATATCTGTCTTATGTTAAATAAATCATTTTCCGTTTGACAGTTCAATAAAGATTTATTGATTGTCTATAAAATTAGCTCCAAATGGAAGGAAACCAGTATTCTAATGCTGTCTCAATAAATTTGGTTATTATGCGTGGATATAAGCAAATTCTGATTTACGACCCATGAACAAGAGAAAGTTTGCATGTATTAAAAAAAGCTTTACACACCATTTTACGAAAAACATTTTAAAAACTATTTATACTAACAAAATATTAGGTACCTAAAATAAAAATTGAACACATGAAAATTAATCTAGTTTTTATATTAGGTTTTCGAAGTGTTAAAATCTGTTAAAGTGATAGTTGCAGTCTTTTTATCTCCGATGGATTTATTTGTTCACGGCATCGTACAATCCGATGACGTAATTCTTCCTTGTTCTGCACCGATGTCACATACACGTGACTTTCACGCACCCCATGGGGAAAACTCTAATGGCGTGAGATCGGGCGATCTTGTTAGCCAATCCCACGGCCCCAAACGTCAAAACCAAGCAGTCATTAAATAACCCGTATAATTCTTGTGACTTCTCTTCAGGACAGTGAGTCGTTAAGTTTCTCAAGAAAATTATTTAGTTACTTTTTAATATTTCCCGGTTTTTGCAGCATTTAAAACATCAAATAATCTTCTAACAAGCAAAGCAAATTTAAACTAATTTTCCTTTGGAATCACATTTCTTTTGTGGCATGAGGATTGTCGACAGACCAAAAGTAATCATTCCTTCGAATGAAAATACCATCTTCTGAAAATTTTGCTTGGTTTCTTTTATTGATCTATTTTTATTAAAAGTTTAAACTGGCTCTATTCCTATGAATATGAACAAGCACGACAGAAATGTTTTACAAAAAAAGCTTATAATACAAAAGTTGCAGGGTTCAAAATTTTTTTATTCGGAATTTGTCCATGGAGAAGTACTTTGTTTATACAAGAAACACTACACGAAGAAATAAATGTGTACAATCGATAAAAGTCAAAAAAGTGGTTTGTAAAAATGTTAAATTTCCCTCATATTTATGAATTAACCTGTATAATTGAAAATATTTTTATATTAATTCTTTTAATCTCATCTGTAACTTTTCTATTTAATACAAATAATAAACGCTATATATTACGTTGACACACTATTTGGACACCCTGTAGTTCAATAATATTTTGAGCTTTAAAAAAAGCGCAATCTCTAAATTAATAGACAAAAGGAAATATTTTTTTTACAAAATTAAAAATTGATCTATTGTAATGTTTCTTTTTTTGTTTTGTTTGTAAAAATGTGTGTATCTCAAAAAATACTAAGTTTAAGTTGATGAAAAATTAATTAAATAATAGAAATTAATATTTTTTATTTTGACTTACCCTGTATAAACGATTCGAAATAACTTCAAGGCAAGTATAGGATAAATGACTGTAATAAATTAGAATTAAAAATAAAATTGTCGGAAATGGCGTCACAAACAAGGAGTGTTCAATACAGGGCATGTTTGACGAAAAAAAAAAAAAAATTATTATATATATATATATATATATATATATATATATATATATATATATATATATATATATATATATATATATATATATATATATATATATATATATATATATATATATATATATATATATATATATATATATATATATATATATATATATATATATATATATATATATATATATATATATATATATATATATATATATATATATATATATATATATATATATATATATATATATATATATATATATATATGATGACACTATATTCCGGGATATCATCCGTTCGCTCGTTGAACTCCGACTGGAATCCTGCATCCGACTGGAATCCTGCAAATCTTGCATCCGACTGGAATCCTGCAGACGTTTCGCCAAAATCTCACTTGGCATCTTCAATGCTCGCGCTCCGAAAACACTTCGAACACTGTGTTCGAAGATTTGCAGGATTCCAGTCGGATGCAGGATTCCAGTCGGAGTTCAACGAGCGAACGGATGATATCCCGGAATATAGTGTCATCACATTTTTCCATCCGTGAATCAATACGTGAGAATATATATATATATATATATATATATATATATATATATATATATATATATATATATATATATATATATATATATATATATATATATATATATATATATATATATATATATATATATATATATATATATATATATATATATATATATATATATATATATATATGATGACACTATACTCCGGGATATCATCCGTTCGCTCGTTGAACTCCGACTGGAATCCTGCATCCGACTGGAATCCTGCAAATCCTGCATCCGACTGGAATCCTGCAGACGTTTCGCCAAAATCTCACTTGGCATCTTCAATGCTCGCGCTCCGAAA